ACAATAAAAACCTTAAATTAAAAAAAAAAAAAAGAGTTGGGCTGCTAACCTCAAGGTCAGCAGTTCGAAACTACCAGTCATTCCATGGGAGAAAGATGAGGCTTTCTGCTTCCATCAAGATTTACAGCCTCGGAAACCTTGTACAGGGTTGCTATGAGTCGGAGCCGACTCCATGGCACATAATCACCATCCTTAAATGGCAACAGTTCCCGTCTAACCCTGATCTTTTCTCCAAGAACTGGGCCGGGGAGGTGGGTGGGGGGCGTGACCTGGCATAGCTGCTCTAAAAACACACCTCCTCTTAGCTACGGGTGGGCCCTCCCTTTGGGAGCAGGCTTTGTGGGAAGCTGGGGTCACAGTGACAGTCCTAGCTCATGGATCTGTTATTTATATTAGCTGAACAAGCTGCAAAAACAGATTTTCAGGTGATTTTCCTCCCAGCTTTCCCCCTGTTTAGAAGGCCAGAGAGACATTTTAGCAGGGAGTCCTTGTTCAGCAGTCCTGTCCTTCTGTGGGATCGAACTCAGACCAGTTTCCTATGTCCTGACAGCTTTCCCCATTTTCCAAGTGCCAAGCAAAAGCAAACACCTCAATCTTGTCTCTCTCCCACCAGTGGTAACTCCCACAAGGACAGAAACCTCTCTGGCTTGCTTTCCTTTATCCCTAGCTCCAACCACAGCACCTGGAATCTGGTAAGCCCTCAATAAATAGTAGCTGAATAAATGACTGCATAAATCAATGATGAGTATTGATTCCTGGATGTGACAGTTCCCCACTTTCATTACAGATGGAGATTCCTCCTGAACTTTCAATTCTTTTATTTCTTTTGGCAGAATGAAGGGAGGCAAGGACAATAAACATCCTTCCAAATTTCCATCTCTGTCCAGAAGGCCTCCTGGGCTGGTTCCCCTTCTACTTGGAGAACATCTAAGGAGAAGGCTGAAGATGGATTGCTGAGATAGTCCTGGGGCTGTACTATGAAAGCCCTTCTTGATGAACTAGTGGGCCCAGGGAGCCCAAAGAAACAAGTCAAGTCCCGCTGCTCACAAGTCTTTTACTGCCTCTGTGTTCCTCATTACTCCCATATACCAGCTGAAGATGCCCAGGCACTCCCAAGCAGACCTCCCCAGGTTCCAGGACTGTTTCATACAGCTGAGCAGGTTGTACACTGCACAACTCCATTCAGAAAGACTGTGATGTGACTGACATCCCTAAAGCTATGCAGTGTCCGACATGCACAGCTACTGGTGGTAGCACTGACAGGCCAGTGTGCTCCATCTCCTTAACAACCTCCTGGGGCCAGATCATGCAGGACCCAGGAGAATTTAGATTTGATTTTGAGAGCAATGGGAATCACTTATACCTTTTAGGGATGGTACAGACACATGCTAACAAATGAAAAAGAACTTAGACAACTGCACAAGTAAACAACAGGCAGAATCAATGTGCCGGGGTTCCCTCCCTGAGACCCTATGCTGAAGGGTACCCAAAGCATCCATCATACTCCAATCTCTCAAGAGGAAACCATGTAATTCTTACCAACTCCCCATTCAGGCGGAGGGCATCTGCCAGTTCCAGTAAGATGGAGACACGCTCACTGGGCCTTATGGAGGGCCCGTGGAACTTCTTGCCTTCTGCCACCCTCATAATTGGTAATTTTATGATCATTTTCAGGGTCTTTATGGCCTCAGGATAGTCCCCAGATTTGTTGAGGGCTCTGGCCTTGATGAAGTGGTAGAGGGGGTGGTCTCGAACCTAGAGGAACATAGCAGACGGGGGTGGGGGGGGCGCAAGTTCACCACCATTGCTGCTGCTGCTCACAGCACCTAGAGCAGAGAGGGCCTGGAGCCCACTGAGCCTGGTTCTGTCTTCAGTCAGCAGAAGGGTCTGAGGTATGTGGGCAGACACGGCCCTGGGGCTCCAGGGTGCTGAGGAGAGGGCCCCACCTGGAAGTTGTGGCTGACGCCCAACTCTAAGCAGTGGGAGCACATGGCAAAGTTGCCCTGAGCCAGGTAGATCTGGGCCATGAGCAGGTGGGCATCCACCGAGGTTGGGTCCAGCTCCAGGCAACGCTGCAGTGTGTTCTGGGCATTCTCCAGCTCTCCTAGAAATGAAAGACAACCCTCTATGTCCAGAGGTCCTTGAGGACTTCTGTGACCTACTCTGTGAAGGCAGAATGAACATGATACATCCTGCTACCCAGAAATACCAACTTAGACATTTTACTCAGTTCTGTTCTGCTTCGCTCAGAGGCCTCTTGCTAAAATCAAAGCTACACAGTTTTTGCCTTGACCCAGAGAAAAACCAGAAAGATTCAAACTCTCCTTCTTTCTCTGTGTGTCCCTCGGGGAGACTGCTAGGTCACTTCAATGTTCTATCTCGATGCTACAGGGCAACACATAGCTCCTAATTCTTAACTCTAAAAGCAGAACACGGTCTAATAATAACAGCAACTATAATAGTTACAACTTATGAAGTCCTTGCTCTGTGCCCGACATGTGTAAAGCACTTCGGAATGTTTGGTGCAATATTTGTGCAGTCCTGTGAGGCTGGTGTGATTATCCTTGTTTTAAATATACGATCCCTTAGCGGCACAAACAGTATTTACTCAGTTGCTAAGGTTGGCAGTTCAAACCCACCCAGTAGTGCAGCAGAGAAAGGTCTGGTGAACTGCTTCCATGAAGATTACAGACAAAAAAAATACTATGGAGCTCAGCTCTACTCTAACACACGGCGTCGGGGCTGACGTGATGACAAAAGGGCTTGGGTTCTTTTCGTTTTCCTTTAATATAGGACTTGAGAGGCCAATCTACACAGTTTAGATGGAACAAAGCATTTAAGTCCAGGCCCACCTGGTTTCTAGACTGATTCCAAACCTCCTAGCACAGTGGGGCCAAGAGCCTCCCCACTCCATTGGTGATTGTTGTTGTTGTGAAATGCCATTGAGTTGATTCCGACCCATAGCGACCCTGTATAGGGTTTCCAAGGAGCAGCTTGTGAGCTTGAACCACCGACCTTGCAGTTCAAACAACTTTGCAATCTGACGCATTAGCCCATAGCACCACGGGTGCGACTATGGCAGCCCAAGGCTGGGGTGTGGTGAGCAGGTAGGAGAGCCCCTCCTCTGCAGACAGGTTCTTGCCAGCTCCTGCTTAGGGTCTATGATATGGTGGGTAGGAAACACCCACTCTGGATCCTTAGCTCCCTGCTCCTTCCCTGTGTGCTGCAGAAAGGTGAATAGGTCACCACGGTAACCTAGACAACTGAAGACCTTGCTTTGGCCCCAAACCTGCTGGCAGTTGCTAGCACCCCTGGGGAGTCCTCCTGCCATGACTTGTACCCATGAGGCCTTGAAGTTGTGGGTACACCTGGCACTCAGATGAAGACAGGGAGCACTGAGCCTCCCAGCAGAGTCCAAGCATACAGGGGAGTGCCAGAGGAGGGCTGTGTGTCAGGAGAAATCTTTGGACTGCAGCAGAGCACGTGTGAAAAGTTCTCTGTCTGTCTCCAGGGTCTAGGACATGAGGTGGGAGAAGTGGAAAGTCAGAGGCTCTAGAGCCCAGGAGAGGCCCAGGCCAGGGACCACAGAGAGCCCAGGGAACAAATGCCACCCGTAAGCACTCCCCACTCAGGGCTGTACCCCCAGGATGGGCCACATGTGGAGAGACGACTCATGGTAGGGGGTCTCATCTTTGCATGGGGTCTTCTTTCACAACTCTTTAAAAATGTTGCCTTTCTTCACTTTAGTTTTTCTCTGTGGCATTATCACTTTCTAACAAACTACATAATGTGCTTTCCTGTTGTGTTTATTGTCTCTAGTTCTCCTGTAACCAGGTGCTATAGTGTTGACTCTGCCTCATGGGCACTCCAGCTGCGTCAGAGTACAAGTGTCCTCCATAGCGTTTTCACTGGCTGAGTTTTGGGAAGCAGATCACTAGGTCTTTCTTCCAAGGCACCTCTAAGTGAATTCGAACCTCCAACTTTTTGGTTAGCAGCCAAGTTTGTTAATGACATGCACCACCCTGGGGCAAACTTCATGAGGGTGAGACTTTTACCTATTGAGCACTTCTGTAGTCTAGTACTCAGGACAGGATCTGGCCCATAATACAAGTTCAATGTCACGAAAGAAGTTCAATGGTACAGATCAAGTAAGAAACCAAAAAAGGCCTGCCTGGGACATCGCCCTGCTGGTGAGGTTGGTCAGGAAGATTTCCAGGGTGCTGGGGCGGGGACTGCACAGAGTGGCCAGGCCTAGCAAGGCAGATGTGTGTGTGTGTGTGTGTGTGTGTGTGTATAAGGAGCTCTGGTAGCGTGGTGGTTACGAATCAGGCTGTGAGCCGTAAGGTCAGAAGTTTGAAACTACCAGCTGTTCCATGGGAGAAAGATGCACCCGTTTTTTCCGAGATTTACAGCCTCGGAAACCCTGTACAGGGTCACTATGGGTTAGAATTGATTTGACAGCACTTAACAACAACATAAGTGTGTGTGTGTGTGTGCACAGAAGACCCCAGGCAGGGTGTTTATGGGCACAAAACTAGAAGCAGAAGCCCTACCATGTGAGGGGATACGATGCCTCACCTGGCCTTAAAGACCCACCAACTCACCTGAGAGATACTTGACCTGAGCTGACAGATACAGGGGCTCGATGAGAGCTGGGGCTGCTTTGACCACTGGGTTCAAGATCACAGCAAGTTGTTTAAGAAGTGGAGACATGATTTGGCCTGGCATCCGGGGCTGTGGAAATACCAGGGTCTGGCTTCGTTGGGTCGCCTCATGCAAGAGAGACTCCCAGAGCTCTCTGAGCAAAGAGATTTTAGTTTATTCCACAGATACGTGGGTATTGGTTGTCTACCTTTTAGTGCTTAAGCACATGTTCCAGAGAACGGGGACTTTGTTCACTGTGTGTCCCCAGTACCTCGAATGCAGGGTAGCGCACCCAGTAAGTATTTGTTGAGTGACTCATTACAAGGCACAGGGAGGGAGGTGGGGGTGGAATTAAGATGTGTAAGATATGATCCTTGCCCACAAGGAATCTCTACTGGCTGGGAAAGCCGGACTAACAAGTATAGACTCGCAAAGTAGACTTCTAGAAAAAGGAAGCCAAGTTGTTCTCTAGGGTAGAGGCAGGGGCATGGGTTAGAGCACTATTCCTCCAAGTGTGGGCTCCAGATCAGCAACAGCAGTATCACCTGGGAGCTGATTAAAAATGCTGGGAGCTTGGCCCCACCTGCTCAGTCAGAATCAGCCTGGTAACAACCTCCCAGGTGATTCAGTGGGACAGCCAAGTGTGAGAGGCACACTGGACTACCTGACCTCCCGAGGTTCAAACCAGCCTGTAACAGGCCACGTGAGGCCTCTGCTTCTGTCTTCTAGGTGTACCTGCAGCCAAGCCTGTATTCTTGACCTGACCCACACCAAGGTGGGCTTGCCCCTCACCTGCTTGGGGCAGAAGAACAAGTACTCCTTGGCAATGCAGACCAGGAAGAGTGGGTCCAACCGTTCCAAGTACTCGGGGCCCAGTGGGAGGCCCTGCATGCTGGAGAAATGCAGTTCCGCGGCCTCCTTTAGCAGCGCAATGGCCTCCTGTTCCGCCTTGTGCTTCTTAGATGCCAGAAGGGCCTGGAGGAAAACCAGCACCTGTGCAGGGAGGCCAGGGTCTCAGAACCATTGCCAGAATGGTTAGAGTGGGTGGCAGAGGGCAAGGTAGGGGGGTCTCACTTTGTTTGAATTAGAAATTGGGGGTAAGAGGAGGGCCGGTAACAAAATCAAGGAGTAGCCCATGCCCGGAAGAGCTCAAACCTCGGACTTTCCAAGGGACTGCTGCACTTCCTTCAGGAACTCCAGCTGATGCTCAGCCTCCTCCAGGTGGCCTTCTAAGATCTGGCACCAGATGATCCCTGGGACAGCACAGGATATGGATGAGCAGCCAGTTCCAAAGAAGACCCAGCTGCCCATCAAGCTGAGACACCTGGATGAGGGCTAGGAAGGCGGGGCCCCAGGGCAAGGTCTCTGTCAATTTCCAGCATCTTCACAAGCTGAAAGAGTGATAGATTCTCATAGTAAAGAATTCAAAGCATAAAGCAGCTAATAAAAACATCCCATGCTCACGCTCTGGCTTCAACAATGCCTCTCTCTAGGGATAAGCACTGTTAGATACACTGAGGGGGTGGATCAAACATTTTTCTAAGCATTTATATTTTTCATGTGTATATAGGAGTCCCGAGGAGCCCTATCGGTGCAATTGTTAAGCATCTGACTGCTAACAAAAAAAGTCAGTGGTTACGGGCAGCTTTGCTCCAGTAAAGATTGTTGTTGTTGTTCTTAGGTGCTGTCGAGTCGGTTCTGACTCAGTGACCCAGTATACAGTTCCCTAGGAGTGGCTGGGGGCTTGAACCACCCATCTTGTGGTTCAAATCAACCTTGCAGTCCAGCGCATGAACCCGTAGCACCACACCAGTAAAGGTCACACCCTAGGAAACCCTACAGGGCAGCTCTACTCTCCCCACAGGGTCACTTAAGAGTTGGAATTGTGGTACCACCACCACCACCAACACAGGAGTTCCTGGATGACATAGATAGTTAAGTACTTGACCACTGACCCAAAGGTTAGCAGTTCAGACCCACTCAGAGGTGCTTTGAAAGAAAAGCCGGGAGATCTGCTTCCAAAACACTGTGGAGCATATGGACCGAGGCACACGTGGGTCAGAATCAACTTCACAGCAACTAACTGGTTTGTTTGTTTTTTTAAACGTTTGTATGGACACAGCTCATTCACAAGTTCATGGAGAAATGGAATGAAAAGATAATAGAATTTTCACAGAAAGTTTTTAAAGCCCATTCACATGATGGGACTATCTGCAACTTGCTTTTTTTTTTCTTTTTCTTTTTCTCCCACTTTTTATATGATAGATGGAATCCTAGTATGATGCTGTAAGATAAGCACTGGACCACTAGGTTGTTTTGAACCACAAGGTCGGTGGTTCAAATTCACCAGCTGCTCCTCAGAAGCTCTATACAGAGTTGCTAGGAGTCAGAATTGACTTGATGGTACTTAACAACTTATGCTAGATACATTTCCCTCATATTAATCATCATTTTAATGATGATCCCATTGTGTGGATGTAATCATTTAATTAATGCCCTATTGAAGGAAAAGGAGCTCTGGTAGCATAGTGGTTACAAATCGGGCTGCGAACCGCAAGATCAGCAGTTTGAAACTACCAGCTGTTCTGAGGGAGAAAGATGAGGCTTTCTGCTCCCGTACAGATTTACAGCCTCGGAAACCCTGTACAGGGTCACTATGAGTCGGAACCGACTCCACGGCACATAACAACAACAACAACAACATTGAAGGAAAACTAATTTCACGTTTAGCGGCTTTGTTTTGGTTTTTTTTGAACATTACAATGCCGATGGTGGATGTTTTTGTATGCTTAAATTCCTGAACCAGAATTGATAGGTCAAAGACATACATGTTTAACATGTTTATATCAAAACCCAAACCATTTGATACTGAGTTGGCTCCAACTCATACTGACCCCATGTGTATCAGAGACTGTGCTCCATAGGGTTGGTTTTCATTGGCTGATTTTTTTGGAAGGATCAGGCATTTTTTTGAGAACAACGTCTGGGTGGATTCAAGCAACTGTACTAGCTTGACCTCCAAAGATATGTGAATTTATATTACTGCCAATAAGACTGGAGAGTTTCCTTTCACCACAACCTTGTTGACAAGCTTTAATCTGGAAAGGTAACCAGTTTCAATTTGCATGTATTTGATTAAGAACAATTATCTTTTCCTATGTTTAATGGCATTTTCTACTGTGAATTTCCTGTTCATAGCCTTTGACTATTTCTCTTTGGGGAATTTCTCAAATGATGACTTAGTCTAGGCTGGGGTAAGTGAGACAGATATTTTGAAAATGGACTTTCCTTCTGACTGACCATCTGGGGCTCCTTCTTGAATGAGAAAGTGGGGGAGGCCTTAGCCTGGTGGAGAAAGATTTCAGGCGATTTGCTTATGTGCTGAGCAGCTGAGTCTTTTTGCCCTTCATGTCCCTGGTGGTGGAGGCAAGTCTTTGCTTTGTTCCCAACTGTCTCCAAACCCAGTAAGACCCTCCTTGGTTCTATTCTTTGGTCAGGGCGAAGTTCTAATCATCATCCTACTGATTCACAGACTGCCTGGTATGGACTGGTTTGTGCACCACAAAAGCTATGCTGAAATCCTCATCTTATTTTTGAAGATGGAATCATTACATTAACATGAGGCCTAACTGGAGTAGGGTGGGTTCTAGTTCAATCTGAGTGGTGTCCTTATTAAAAAAAGAAAAAGAAACACAGAGGAAGACAGTCATGTGAAGACAGAAGCCAAGATCAGAGCAATGCATCTGTGAGTCAAGGCACAGCACAGATGGCTGGCCCTCACTGGAAGCTAGGACAAACAGGAAACAGATTCTCCCTCAGAGCCCTCAGAAGGAATCAACATGGCTGACACTCTGATTTCAGATTTCTAGACTCCAGATCTGGCAGGCAATACATTTCTGTTCTTTAGAGCCATCCAGTTTTCGGTTCTTTGTTACAGTAATCCTAGGAAATTGCTACTGCCCACGGCATGCCTTTTCTCCCAGCCTCTGCTGTGCCTGAACTCATGATTTTTGGTTTTTTTCCTGGAGCTCTTTGGTGAAAGCTGGTGGACTTACTTGCTTCTTTAGATGACCCATCTTGCCTATGTTGGTTTATGTGTTTCTAGATCTACTTGTAGTTTCTATGTATTTGATGCCATCTGTATTACCTCTTCTAGAAATGTGAACTTTTCTAGTTTCTGACCCATGAACAGTACCTACTCCGTTGCTGAAGCAACTTTCTTATCTTCTTAAAACATCTTCCATTACTTTCAAGGTGTTGGGGGATGGAGGAGGAAGCATGGCCCTGAGGGGTCAGCCTGACCTGTTGAACCACCAGCTATCCTGATCAACTATCCTGATAATTGTGCTTTACAGACAGGAGCCTGGGGTTTAGAAGGAAATGACCTGCCCCCAGAGTACACAGCTCCTTGGAGATAGAGCTCAGGGTCACACAGCTTTCCCAACCAAAACAAAATGCTTCTGGCTCAGAATTCACCAGAAACCATACATTTGGGTCTTTAAAAACTGCAGATAGGACTCTTGAAAATTCACCTGACATTTATAGAAAGGATTTGAAAAAAACACATCTAGACACACAGGGAAGTCAAACCCTTGGGGATGTCTGTTCTGGTGGTCTCTTAGCTCCTGCAGAGGGAGGCGCTACAGAGGTGAGTCCAGGGGCAGGGGATGTAGGTGAGTGGGGCTGTTTCCAACACTAGCCTTCTGGAGCCTGAGATGAGACAGGCTGACAGGGAAGAAGAGACAGGCTGTCTGAGTGGGTTCTGTATCTGAGGGGCCGTGACACTTGTAAAAATTCCCATATCCCTTACATCTGTTACTTGTGGACTCACAGAAAGACATCCCATTGTACAAATACTACCTGACCCACACACCCTCTGTGGAAAATGCATCCCAGTACTTTCTTTTGAACCCACAGAAGCCACAGTGCTTGATTCCCAACACCAACCTCCTACCACCCATCCCCATGAATAGACCTGTCAAGGCAGCCATGCTGCTCTCATCGAGTTTCATGGCCTCGGAGTACCACAGTGATGCTTCCTTTCCTTGGTCCTGCAGGATGAAGAGGTAGCCCAGCTCTGTGGCCACATGAGCATAGAAGGGTGTGGCCATAAACGTACGCTCAATGAAGCTGCACACTAGTCTTAGGATCCCCTGGTGTCTTCCACACTGCAAAGAATAGACAATTGGCAAGGGGGAGACCAGTCATTCTAGCCTGAGCCAGACCATATCAGAAGGTGGGAAACTTTGGAAGGGTCAAATAGACCCAGGAAAGCCCAAGAGGCAAGTGTGTCTAGGCAATGGAGCTATGTAGCTGTCCCATTCCCAAAGAGTGTCTCACTGGTCACATTATGTGGAACCTACCTCCTGTCACAGGACCCTCTGAGGTTCCCATCCCATTAGTCCACAATAATTAGTGTAAGAAATTGTCAAAAACTGAAACTGGGTTAGAGAAGCTCTTTCTGGCCCTGGAAGCTGCCAGTAGCCATGTTCCCTGCAGTATATGAAGAAGGAGGCAGAGCGAATCAGATGCTGACATGGAGAGACCACGTCCAGTGGCATTTGCCACTATAATTCTGATGTCTGAGGCCCCAGAGCTGGCTGTGTGCTGACAGCAATCCCTTCCAGTAAAGTTTGCTTTGGGGAAAACTTTGTCTATTAGAGACACAGATTTGTTGACAACCTGGTTTATGTGGAACTTGCTTGATGTCAGAGAGACCAAGTTAGGCCACCTTCCATGTGACTTCCACCAAAAGTATGGCTCTGTGCACACCAGTTACATAGTCTGTCCTCCTCTAAGTTCTGTGCCTTGCACTCTACAAGGGCTTTCAGACCTCATGACTCTCCCTGAGAGTCACAACACTTTGGAGGGGCACCTGGGCCAAGGTGGGGAAGGGCCACAGCAGTGGGTTACATGTAGCCTGACTCAGGGGAGTGGAGGTTAGAAGGGTCCAGGTGCTGGGGAGCTGTCTGAGAAAGGACCGAAGTCTCTGCTAAAGAAAGGGAAACACCATTTCACAAACCAGAAAAGAACCTTACCAGTCTGCTAACCACAAGAATTTTTTTAAGATGGAGACTTGGATTTTGGGGCTCTCTCATCTCTAGCGCCTTAATCAGATTTTTAACATGCTCCACAGCCTGCAGGGACAAAACAGACAATGTCAAAAGTGACAAGCAACACCCAGTCCATTGAGTAGTAGTTCTCTGACTAGGCCTCACATGAGCATCAGTGGGAGATTTAAAAAAAACAACAAACCAAACCTATCCCCAGAGATGTGGATTTAATGTAACTGGATTGGAATGACAGCCAGCAAGCATTACTAGAACAGTGGTTAAGGCACTTGACTGCTAACTGAAAGGTCAGTGATTCAAACCCACCAGCTGCTCCACATAAAAAAGACGAGGCAGTCTGCTTCGTAAAGATGTAAGAGGGAAGATGAAGGTAGCGTGAGACACAGGGAGGAATGCAATGTTAAAGTGAATACTGTTAACTGTTGGTGCATGGGAGGGATTGCAATTATTGTAATGAACAAAGTATATAATTTATAGACTAAAACTGATGATCTGCTCTGTAAACCTTTACTCAATTCACAATAAAAAGTTAAAAACAAGCTGATAGCCTTGTTCTACAGTGTCACTATAATTCTACTCTGTCCTATCCTGTCATTATGATTCAGAAGAGACTCGACAACCATGGTTTTAACTGGGCATGGAGTATAGGCATCAGTATTATTTTAAATCACCTTTATTTGCTGTCAAGCCGGTTGTAACTAATAGTGACCCTGTATAGGGTTTCCAAGACTGTAAATCTTTATGGGAACAGAAAGCCTCATCTTTCTCCAGTGGAGTGACTGGTGGGCTCAAGCTGCTGACTTTATGGTTAGCAGCCCAATGCATAGCCCATTACGTCACCAGCACCCCACCTCAACTCACCCAAGGTGGAGCTTTTGGGAACCTCATTCACACAAGAGTTGGCATGCCCCTTTGTTCCTGAGTTTGTGAACAGAAGCTGACGCTGAGAAGGAGCCAGCCCTCAGTGCCCACACCACAGCACGGCAGGCCAGCTAGCCACCTGTTCTGGCCCAGGAGCAGATGGTCAGGGCGGGCCACTGGCCCATAAGCCTTTGCTCCACTTTGACATGAATCACCGCCTTGGTGCCTCGGTCATTCCAGTGAATCCTGGAAGTAAGTCAGTGTAGCCTTCAGCCCTGTCCAGCCATGGGCGATGAAGGGTCAGGAAGGCTGGGTGGTTTCTCTCAGGCAATCAGCCAACAAAGTGACTGACTGATGACAAAGCCTGTGCTTTCCTGTTGACTCTTCTGCCTACCGTCCTCGATACCCCTATCCAGGAGAAGGGAGTTCTTAGTCTCACACTATAAGACAGACCTAAAGAGAACCCCAATGGGCTGGGTCTGTTCTGCTCACTATTAGAGAGTACAATCACAGCTGAGCAGCCTGGGCTGGGCGGGGGGTGGTGGGGTGGTGGAGGAGGGGCCAGAGTTTGGGATAGGGGTGAAGGAGGGGCATTCAGTGCTAACTTCTAACTTACTCCTAGGCTTGACCTCAGACTGGGACCCAGGAAACTCTGGGGACAGCGAGACCTGTTTTGTTCCCACCCAAAGGCAGTTCTAGGTTTCTGTTAAATGTGGACTGTCCCTCCATCCCACTCCACCCCAAATCCTAGCACAAAACTCAGAAAGCTTTTTCCTCCTGCCATGACCCCTTAAAGATCCCTGATTTGCCATGATTTCCACAAAGGAAGATGCTGTTTTCTATCTCATTGGTTCAAAAGGCAAGTTTTGGCTAAAAACAATGAGAGCTTGTCTGGAATTTTTCATTAGGTGCTCTAGGTGGGTTTGACTGCATTTGAGTGCCGTTCTAAGTTTCTTTAAAGCCATAGGAACAAGTTTGGTGCCAGGTACTGACTGGTCACTGCCTGAACAATTCCAATCTTCTTTCCCAGCTCCTTCCCATCCCACCCCTGCCCCCAAGAGCATTTCTGGAACTTTGAAGCACTTCTACAACATTTCCTATCATTTAACATTGATTGAATTATTGTAGCACCTCAGGTACTGTTCCAAACTCTACCACTTATTTCATGTAATCCTCATAACCCTCTCACAAAGTGAGTGGAATGATCTGCCTTTTACAAATGAAGATCCTGAGGCTTATCCAGGTAGAAACACCTGCCCAGGTTCACATGGGAAACAAGGGGCAGAGCCAGAATCAACCCACTGTGGAACTCTAGAGTTGTGCTGCTTTAAAGAGCCAAACTAGAGCAAAACTCCTTGGTGGGAGCATGGAGTGGAGAGGACGGAGCTGAGATCCAGCTAGCCTGTTCCAAAGCCTTGGGGGTCTCAGGGGGTTCCTTCTTGGCTCTGTTTGTTTCAAGGCCTAACTTCTGTGTTTTGAAATCACTTACTTTGGTCATGTTTCCTTCTCTCGCAAGCTCATGCACAGCCAGAATTTGGCAGGCGTCGATATTGTTTTCGTCTTTTTCTAGGATTCTGAAATAGGAAGAGAAGCTACATGAATGAAAAGTATTGATAGGATGGTGTGGTGGCAACTGCTGTGTATCTTCCAATATTCATTCTCCTTTCTTCTAATGATGATATTATTGTTGTCACATGAATGTGGATCATGTGAGCCACATTCTAGAAATTACACACCAGTAAGATACAAAAGATGGAGTCCTGGACCTCACGGTCTGTTTGAACCACAAGGTCAGCGCCCAAACTCACCAGCTTCTTCTTGGAAACCCTATAGAGGGTCGCTATGAGTCAGAAGGAGCTCTAGTAGCGTAGTGGTTACAAATCGAGCTGCTAACCTCAGGGACAGTAGTGTGAAACTACCAGCTGTTCCGCAGGAGAAAGATGAGGCTTTCTGCTCCCATAAAGATTTACAGCCTTGGAAACCCTGTACAGGGTCACTATGAGTCAGAATCAACTCCACAGCACATAACTGCCACCACCACTACCATGAACAGATTTTCGGAAATGACTCGATGGCACTTAACAGCAACAACAAGATAAAAGGGAGGAATCCTGGTCTGGTCCTATAGGATAAGCACTGGACTGCAAGGTCAGTTTGAACCACAATGTCAGTGGTTCAAACCCATTAGCTGCTCCTCGGAAACCCTATACAGGGTTACTATGAATTGTAACAACCCGATGACACTTAACAAAAGCAACAAAGATAGAAGAGGCCTAGGAGTCCTGGTGTGGCGCTGTGGAATAATGCGCTGGACTGGAAAGTCGTGTGAATCACAACGTCAGTGGTTCAAGCTCACTGCTCCTTGGAAACCCTATACTTGGAAAGCCTATGCCGACTCGACGGCACTGAACAACAACAGAACCCTAGAGTTAAGCTACCATCCCAGCCCTGGACCATCATGCAAACTTTTACCTGAGTCAGGAACAGTCTTGTAGGTTGTTTAAGCCATGAATTTTGAGGCGTTACAGAAGGCTATTCATATTCTAGCTAACACAGATACAACCGTGACAATAATGGTCCTGGGTGTCTAGAGAGGTACAGAGGAGCAGTCCACAGTTACAAGATGGAAAAGGAAGCTTGAATTCAATCATTTGTCCTCCTGAGGACACATACTGGTCATACTGTGCTTCCTATACCCTGTTCTTCATAGGGAACTTCCACTTTACAGCCTGGTCAGGGACTGGCCTTCTGCTTAGTAGAGGGTTACTCTACTTAACAGAGAAGAGCGCCTTCTCTGGTCAACTTACAGAATTACAACATGATAGGGCTTATTCAGCATTCAGAGAATTTTATTTCTGATGGTCAGAAGGCACTGTGAATCTTAAATATCTGGAAATAAAAAACAAACACTTCAAGATAAATTATAGATTAAAGTAGAATCAGAATTAGACATTAGAAAAATCTTGGAGCCAAATGAAAATACTACACATTAAAATGTGAATGCTGGTAAAGTGATACCTCAGGAAATCCATAGACTTAAATCCCTACACTAGAAAAGAAGAGGAATGCTGGACTGCCAACCACAAGGTCAGCAGTTCCAACCCACCAGCTGCTTGTGGGAGAAAGATAAGACTTTCTGTTCCCGTAAAAATTTCCAGCCTCAGAAACTCTATGTTGTTGTTACGTACCATTGAGTTGCTTCTGACTCACAGTGACCCTGGATAGGGTATCTGAGGAATGGCTGGTGGGTTTGAACTGCCGACTTTAAGGTTACCAGTTCAGTGCTTATCCTACAACACCATACCAGAAACTTTAGACATGGTCACTATGAGGTGGAGCCAACTTGATGGTACCTAACAACAGTATTAGAAAAGAGGGTTGAGAATAGATGAGTCAGGCAACCAATTCAAGAGTTCAAAAATAACAGAATACCTCGAAAAGGAAGCAAATGGCAGGAAATAATTAAGTGAAGAGCAGAAATTAATAAATTAGAAAGCAAAGATATAATTAAGAGGGTCAACAAAACCTGAAGCTTGGTCCTTTGAAAAGATTAATAAAAGACAGAAACTATTTTAAGATGGATTTAAAAAGAGAGAGAAAGAGATATTAAGGATGATGAGAAAAATTCGAAATAGCAGTGATGGCTATACGATATAGCTAACAGAACTAATGTCACTGAATTGTACACATAGACATGGTTGAAATAGCAAATGTTCTGTTATATATGCATTGTCACAAGAAAGGAAGAAAAATAAGAAAGAAGAGAAAAGGTATTGGGGACAAAAAGGGAAGCACAGCTAGATAAAGCAGAGATGTTATAAAGCAATGGGAGAATACTAGGAGAAACACTGTGAACGTCTCCATGTGGGAAGGAGCTGTGGGGTTGGACTCAACCTGCTGGCACCATTCACTGCTCCCTGCCATGGGCACAGCAGGGCCAGAGTGTGGGAGGCTGCACACACCCACGGTGTGGCTTTCCTCCAGGTGTTTCCAGGTATCCTGTTAGCCTAAGGCTGAGCCTCCAAAGCAAGCTCTTGACCCTGCTCATGCCAAGGACACAGGTCAGGTGTAAACTGTGAAAAAGGGAACCAGCACAGGTATGTGTTAGGCAGAACAGAAGGACTTTCAGTTTGCTACCAGCACCTCTCTATAAGGCTCAAACTACAGGTCTCATCAGAGGGCTTATCTGCTCCCCACAAAGAAAAGATTTGTTTGTACTTTGCTTTTTGAGAACTGTGCCATATATGACTACACAATTCAGTAGCAATTCATAGTGATGACTCATAGCCATTTAGAAAAAAAAAGTCCATTAATTATTTTAAGGAGGAAATGAATATTATACATTTTAAGAATACTGTGATAAAAATAGCTATGATATGTAAGTTTAAAAGGTAATTCTCAGTTGTCTAAAACCTGCTGTTCTCAAAAGACCTTCCATCACACATCTATGGCTAAATGATTTTTGCCAAGGGTGTCAAGTCTATTCAGTAAGGAAAGAATAATCTTTTCAATAAATGGTACTGGGACCATTGGATTTCTATATGCAAAAGAAGTTCTGGTCTTAGGTCACTGATCTATTATGAAAGCCAGTTAATAAAAGATCAATGACCTAAACATAAGAGTCAAAACCATAGAAACTCAGAAGAAAATACAGGAGTAAAGTTTCAGGCCTTTGTTTTTGACAGTGGATTCTTAGATATGACACAAAAAACATGAGCAACAAAAGAAGAAATAAATTGGACCTCACTAAAATAAAAAATTTTGTGTGTCAAGGAACATTACCAAGAATGTGAAATGACAGCCAACAAAATGGGGGAAAATATTTGGAAATAGTATATCAAATAAAGGTTTAGTATACAGAATATATACAGAACTCCTATAACCCAACCACAAAATGACAAACAACCCGACTTTTTATATGGACAAAAGACTTGAACATTTCTCCAGAGAAAAATGTTGTTGTTCGTGCCATTGAGTCAGTTTCAAGCCTGTACAGGGTTTCTGAGGCTATCAATGTTTGCAAGAGTAGAAAGCCTCATCTTTCTCCTGTGGAGTGGCTGGTGTGCTCGAACTGCCAACTTTGTGATTCTAAGTCCAGTGCTTACCTTACAGAGCCACCATGCTCACACAAAGGGCTAAGCACATGAAAAGATGTCAACAACATTAGTGATTTGTTGTTGTTCTTGGGTGCCCTGGAATTGATTTTTGACTTATAGGCTTACAGGGACCCCATATGTCAGAGGAGAACTTCCCCCATAAGGTTTCCTTGGCTGTAATCTTATTTTTCTCCCTAAATTGTATTTGTTTTGTTCTTTTGGAGAATATGCACAGCAAAACGCACAGTTTCAACAGTTTCAACAGGTACAATGTAATGATATTGATTACATTCTTTGAGCTGGGCAACTAAGCTCACTCTCCTTTTCTGAGTTGTTCCAACCTCATTAACATAAACTCACTGCCTCTTAAGGTTCCTATTTAATTTTCTGAGTTGTCAGTTTGATCCCATATAAAACCAAACACAAACTGCTTTCAAGTCAATTCTGGCCCATGCAACCCCATAGGATACAGTAGAGCAACTTCATAGAGTTTCTGAGACTATAATTATTTACAGGACCCGACAGTCTCATCTTTCTCCTGTGGAGCAGGTGGTAGGTTTGAACTGCCAACCTTAGGGTTATCAATCCAATGCTTAACCCACTTTGCTACCAGGCCACCTTCATAAATAGCTCTTAAAAGAGCATAATGACCAAAGCAAACCCCTTTCACTGTTAAACTATTTTTCAGTTCTAAGATGACTACAAGGGATATTTATTGGTTAAAGATGATCTCTAGAGAATGGTGTCAGGGACTCATCTGCCCTCTGCAGCTCTAAAAACTCTAGAGTCCATGAGGATTGGAAATTCCTTTCTGCATTTCCCCCCTTTCTGACCAGGATTCTTCTATGGAATTTTTGATCAAAATGTTCACTATATGAGCACTATCAATTTCTTCTGATCTCACGGCAAGGAAGGCAGATGTTCATGGAGGCAATTAGCCACACATTCTATAACTTCTTCCAATTTCTGACTCTCCTTTCTCTGTTGCTCCAAGTGAACAGAGACCAACTGTACCTTGAATTGCCAGCTTCTAAGACCCCAGGCAATACACAACAAATTGTGAGGTTAAATGAAACACTAAGCACATTAGCAGGCCAGTTAGCTGGGATTTCCTGTGAAATCATGACCCTAAACCTCCAAACCAAGAGACCTAATCCCATGAAGTGCTTGGATGCACATAAGCAGCTTCAGCAACTAGTCTCCTCAATTAAAAAAAAAAAATCCTTGTTGTAAATATGAGGGTAAGTAAAAAAGGTGTCAAAAATCATAGAAACCTTTATTAAGCAAAACTATTAAAATGTGAAGAGACTATTCGAGCCACTGTTCCATCTATATCTCTACACTTCTGGAGGTGGTATTTCCATCTCTCTACCCCTGCCCCCATAATTCTGGGCTCTTTGATTCAAAAATCAAAAGGGCAGTTTTGGCATCCTTGAGGGACTCAAATTGTGTTCCTTGAAAATGTTACTTGAGTCCCG